AAGTACAAAAATTGAAATATTTGGAATTTTTTTGTTTTTTTAACAGAGGACGGAAAGCGTGACACTGAAAATCCGAAGGCATATTGGGAACGACAAAGATGCCTTCGAAACTCTAAGCAGAAAAAGAAACAGAAAAACTTGGCTTTAAAGAAGCAAATATCACATCTACGTGATATATGTCCTCAAGAAGATCAGTTGAAAGAAGAGAGAGTTGAAATTTCTGTGGCTCATGATGAGGAAAGAAAGCTTGGAAAATCTAATACTTACAGGACAGGTTGAAGGCAAGATACAAAGAAAAACAACATAACACAGTGAGTTTGTGTAAATGAATACCAGAACAAAGTTTAGTACAAATCACAAAAAGACAAAATTTATTAAGAGCTACAAAGAACAGGACGTTGTGAAGAGCTATGATCCTCTACGTAATGAGAAAACACGGCACATAAAGAAGAATGTTATTTATCTCATAGTTAGAGGTTTGAATTCAGAATTGTCTTTCTCCTAGACCGGTTGTCAGACAAGGCTATAAAATCCGATTTGTCCTGCTATTTACCATAGGGGTGAGGAGAGAAAAGGCGGATTCATACCTTCCCAAGGGTATTTGCACGTAAATGAATCTAACAAACTCGACTGGAATTCGAACTCAGCTCTCCATTCTCTGATTCTGAGCTGTTATCAATTACGCCACCCGTACACCAAATCTTAGAATAACTTGTATTCCCATTCACAAGTCATCACTCATCTCGTTACTGACAAGACTCAACGTTTCTTAACTTCGGTGATTGGAGACGAACCGTCGTTTCAACATGATTTATATATATATATATATATATATATATATATATATATATATATATATATATATATATATATATTTGAATCACACACACACACACACATATATATATATATATAAATCAACACACACATATTATATATATATATATATATATATATATATATATATATATATATATATATATATAAGAAGTAGATCTATTTTTCGTGTGACGCGTTTTCTCCTTTAGAAATTAATCGGGCTGAAGTGATGTTCACCTTCATGAGACTACATATGCGCATAAAGAAGAGGAGCGTGAGCATTTTAAATTTAAATATAATTTTTAAAAAAATATATATATATATATATATATATATATATATATATATATATAGATGTAGTCTTGCTGATTACATTGATTTACTTTTTCTTTTTGTTCATGTTTCTGTCACTTTTCTTATTAAACATCCCACATGTTGCCAGAACGTTTCATGAATTTACTATGGATGATAGTAATTTCCTATTAATAATTTCTTATTAGTAATTTGCTTTCTCTTTTAATTAGATTGGCATATTTTAAATAAAAATTATGGTCAGACTCATTAAGATGAGCAACCAGTGCGTTTAGTGTATTGCTTTGTAAAAGATCCCTTTCACGTTCTTTTTTAAATTTCTTGAAGTTTCTCCGATGTATCCTTTGTGGCAATAATTACAGGGAATAAATTCCACCTTCAAATTTGAACTTATTTGGTTCTGCAGTAACTAATTGTTTTTATTGTTTTACAAGTAACTGTGATGAATTTTAAGTTGAGTTTAGATAAATTGTTTTCATTTCTAGCTGTGATAAAATTAGTTAGTAGAACAATATATATATATATATATATATATATTGTGATTCGTTGGGTTTGGTCAGGAAGGATTCGTTTTCCATTTTGAAATGTTTGATGAGGCTCTTTCTTTGCATAGAATATAAAATATGATATTGGAGGGTGTTCATAAAGTTTCTTCAGAATTTAAAAATATTTATATTGCAAAGGCAATTGATGTGGCACCACATCTGCACCATTGTGCACTTGATTAATTGAAACAAGACGAATAATTCCATTATTATTTAATTTTTGGGGAATTTTTCAAGTGAAACAAACCTAGTGTACATGTTAGTACTTCGTATGTCAATTCCATGAAGTCGTTCCTTGCTGTTTGACTACAGATTCTTGACTAGATTTAAATCGGTAGTTTCCGGCCCAGTACTTTGATTTGTTCACTGGTAAGGCTTGTCAGTTTGTTCGTGTAGCGTTACAGTTTCCGTACGCTTCCTTTAGTCCATCGCAGACAATGGCCGTCGGACAACTAATCGACAGTCGAGAAAACGTTTCTGTGTGACGCTAATTGTCGTTGCCGCGGTAAAACGGGAGAAAATTTTGATAAAACGTAAGAAAGTGTTATGTACTGAAAGACATTGAAACAAGAAGGGTTAATACCGAAAAGCCGTAGGAAGAATTGAGGATTTAATTCCCACATAAACGACTTGAATTGTATGTCGAGCAGTTTGAACAATGGAAAAGTGATCCAGACTTAGAAGGCAATGATTATTGACATGTGTTCTACACAGCTGAAAATGCATGCTGTAAAGCGAAAATATCATTTTTCGTAAATAACTAATTTGGAGTTGATTTCACTAGTCGAAAATTGATTTGAAATACCAGGAGGTGGGGGGAGGATAAGCCACCCTCGCTCACTGAGGAGATTTAGTGAGAGGTAATAATATGAGAGAGTTGAAGACAGGAATTCCCCAGAATTATCAAATTCTATTACTGTGCCAATTGGGGCAAATGTCCATAAATACGATTGAGCGAAGCGAATTCGGCAGACGAGTCGCAGTAGAGAGAAGAGAGACAGAGGAAGACGGATACGGCGAACAGAGACAGGAGAGAGACGGCAGAGAGATCGTCCCACCCACTGGTCGTGATACACCCGACGAGATTGCCTACGGAAGAGAACACCTCGACTTCAGCCTTGTGCCGAACTTTACCAAAACAACAACCCAACTTTACCAAGTCAACAATAATATTACTTCCTATTTAGACGCGGGTTGGGCTGATAATTAATTGCATGTGAACTCTGATATAACCAATTTTGTCACGGAGAACTTATATACATATAAAAAAAGTATTTACTATTTGTTTAATTTATTCAAATTTTTTCCAGTGAATCTTCGCACTGCTTGGACCAACCCCACACAAAGATATCGGCTATGATTCGATTTTGGCTGCCTTATGATCTAAAAATCACAACGTAGAATAAGGTTAGCTCTGGATTGAAGCGGTCACATCAGCGCCCAGTCGCAGTGTTTGAAGTCATGGACGACCGGGGTGGGTGTGGCACTGCATAGTGTCTGGGCGTGATAAAAATCGGATGCAATCATGGATGATGTAATATTTTTCAAGGTCAAACAAATTTCATCATACATTCTGAAAATCGATTCATATTACTGCACACCACTGCAAATGACCTAATCTGAGGAAAAAATAGAAATCGTTTACACCTTGTCACTCCAGTGGCTCTAAAACGGACCGTATGGTGAAAGAAAGGAAACTAAAGCGGTTGTTTCAATTAATTTGCACAAGGGAGTAGATGACCTTCAAGCGACCATCGTTTTCCAGCCTTAATGTGCACCACTACACCGGGGACTGCATGTTCGTGAGTTCCTACATCAAACACTTCCAGATTGGTAGATTTGAAGGGATGGCCCAATTCCCTGACCACCTCATTCACCAGATACTACTTCCACGGACGTCTTTCTATGGGGTTATGTTAAAGATATCGTATATCGAACAAAAATACGGGACATAACTGATCTGAATCAAAAGATCACTGAGACCACTGTCACCATTGATGAGGCTCTGCAACAGCGAACATGGCAAGGAATCCAGTACCGACTTCATGTGCTTTGTTTATGAATAGAATAATTCTTTGTAAGAAATCAGTTTGTAGATCAGGTCTTATTGACGTAATTTTGTAAAGAGGGTTTTTATAGAGAGTCTGGTTTGATTTGGTTTATTTTGTTTTACGACATATCAACCTCAATGGGTTATTTAATGCTGACAAGATATTTAGGATAGATTCGTATGAATAGAATATATATTCTTTGGTTTAGATTGGTTTGGTTTATTTTGTTTTACGGCATATCAACCTCAATGGGTTATTTATATATACGGATCCGTGATGCATTGTTGGTAGTCTATTGCATTGTGGGAAAACTACTCGCATGCAATACTCTACCCAAAATTCATGTGCGTAGAAACTGTCCAAATGTTTTATAATTCCTAGTGCTTTCGGCTATACTTTTAGCCATTATCAAGGATGATTTTATTTTTTCAATTTAATTAGATGTGTGCGGTGTGAGTATGTTTTTAGTGCTATAGAGATGTTTTATTTTTCGAACACGGTTAGCACATTGTGGCCGTGTTCGTAGGTAATATTATTAAGCTTTGGCTTTTTCTTTTTATATATTACCTACGAACACGACCAGAGTGGGCTATCTATGTATAAATGAATGATTGCTGTCTAAATACACAATATATATATACACATACATATACATATATATATATAACTGAATATATATTTATACATACATATATATACAAGTAGAAGTGAATATCTATCTATCTATCTATCTCTCTCTCTATATATATATCCATTTTAAGACATTTTTATGTTTATACATTCTTTTTATAGATTACACACACACAGAGGCACACACACACATACATACATACATACATACATACATACATATATATATATATATATATATATATATATATATATATATATATATAAGTGAATTTAGTGGATGACTCATGTTTCTAATCAAGTCTGGGTTCGCAAAATCTGATCAGTGAGCAACAAACTGTTTCTGTGGGCTTTTTGCTATGGACTTGTGAGTTTTTAATAATAGATGTCCTCTGAGTGAAACTTGCTCCAAGGAATCTTAAAACTTGAAGTCTACCTCTCTTCACTAGGATTGACGTGGGGGAATATTCTAATCATTTCTAAATGTCGGAAACCACTTGTTAAGTGCCAAGTCCTCGTGGCGAGGGGTAGGGTGGGTAGAGAGTTTCAGAATTCCCGTTGTGACTCGAGAAAAGCGTGTAGAAATAAAGTTTCGAACAACGAAGCAGGCTGGCCGAGATGGGGGAAGAGAAGAATTCGAAAAATGAGCAGCGGTCGTAAAAGGAGAAGGTAGGGCTTTCCAGAGTTGTGTAATGGTTAACAAGCTGGCCGAGCGAGATCAATTATGATTGAATTATGAATTCAACCCTCAGAGGGTACCCCATACGTTCGGCCTTTTCCCACATCTTACGCTTAGAAAATCAATCTAGTGCACGTCAACGTAATGTAATGGTTAACAAGCTTGTTTCGCCAGATCAACTATAATTGAACAGTGACTTCGAGCCTCACAGGTGCCACAAACTTTTGGCCTTGTGCCACATCTAAGCTACGCTTATAAAATCATTGAGGCCGCTTCAATGTGGTGTAATGGTTAGTAAGCTTGTCTTCCTGAATAGTGACTTCGATTCTCACTGGGTGCTCCATACTTTAGGCCTTGTGTCTTAGCTAAGCTACGCTTAGTAAATCACTATACTTTGGGTATTTCAAAGTGGTTTAATAGTTGGCACGCTTGTCTTCCTAGAACAATTACAACTGAGTAATGAGTTCGATCCTCACTAGGTGCCCCATACTTTCGGCCTTGACCCACAACTATGCTACGCTTAGTAAATCAGTATCCTTTGGGAACTTTAAGATTTTGTAATGGTTAACGAGCTTGTCTCACTAAAACTATTACGACTGAGTAGTGAATTCGATCCTCACTGTGCTTTGAGCCAAAACTACGTTTAGAAAATCATAGGACAGTGCGAGGTGGTGTAATGGTTAACAAGCTTGCCTCATTAAAACAATTACGACTGAGTAGTGAATTCGATCCTCGCTGGGTGCTCCATACTTTTAGCCTGGTGCCAAAGCTACGTTTACAAAATCATGGGACACTGCGACGTGGTGTAATGGTTAACAAGCTTACGACTCTGTAGTGAGTTTGATCCTCACTGTGTACACATACATTCGATGATATGCCACATCTAAGCCACACTTAATAAATAACCATAAAAGAAGTTAAGAAATCTACGTTATGAGGATATGTAGGATAGACAAAAGTTGGCCCCGGACTTTAAGATGTTAGAATAGATCAGGAAAGCGTTTATTTTTTTTCAGGAGCTTGTTCCACAAAGCAGCGGCTCATAGAAAGAAGCTGTTTCTTACCAACGACATACAAATGGGATGAAGATGGTTAACTCGTGTCTACATGGCAAGGCAACTCTTAGCTGTGAAGGTCTGAACTTGTGTAACTAATGAATGTTGCTCGTCTGAACATTTTCCAATGAAAGAACGATAGATTAATATTATGATACTTTTACCAAGATCTCTTTCTGATTCGCAATACATTTCACTTGACATGTCAGTCGCTTGTGAGCACTAAAAGAAGCAAAACCGAAATAGAAATAAAAAGTTGTCTTCTGCGCAGGGGCTCCGTGCATCACACCCGGTTAAAAAAAAAACAACAAAATTAAAACAAAATTTCCGCAAAAATCTAAAATATAGCAGCCAACCCCGAACGTTGCCGTATGAAAAAAAAAAAAAAAAAAAAACAATGTGCATATGAGTCAATACCTGTTAAACGATTGCTGTAAAAACGACACGCCTGTCCGACACCAAGCAGTTCAGCTTAACAACTCAATCTCGTCTCTCGGTGGCCGGCCTATGAACATACCTCGCCGATGTTGATTTCAACTCTGAGGATAGATGGATCAACCACGCCAACGAAACCTCATTGGTACGACTACGCGACTTCACTAAGTCACTCCAGGCCTCTCTCGTCGTCAAAACCGTGATCTCGGTCAACTGACCCAACAAATCCGTCAACTTGCGGCCTCACCAATAGCAAGCTTACACCTAATCTCTTCTCTTACCAACGGCATCGAAAGAACCACATATCAACAATTTCGTCATCATTTCACACAACTAAGTATACATTCTGAAATTTGATTAATAGACGCTGCTGAAATTTTAATCTTTGTACTTTCTATTGAAATACCTTTATAACATTAAATAAAACCTAAAGAAAGCCAGCAATGCAATAAACATAAATAAATAAATAAATAAATAAATAAACAAAAAAGAAAAATAAATAAATAAAGAAAGAAACGGGATGGACATTATTTACATTATTCGGACTATTATCCTCATCTTTGTCACCATATTTATTACAACGTTTCGGCCGTTGTACGCTTCGGCCTTCTTCAGGTGGATGGAATTTCGAACTTAACACTTTATTTCGCTCTCTCTCTCTATATATATATATCTTTCATTCGTTTTTTCTTTCTTTCATACTATCTATCTATCTATCTATCTATCGCAGTTTGCTCATATCAATCTCTCTGTTCATATCTATCTCTCTTTCTTTTATCTATCTCGAAGTATTCCCATCTATCTATCTATCTATCTATCTATCTATCTATCGTTCTTTCTTTCTTTCTTTCTTTCCTTCTCATTTTGTTCGTGTCAACCTCTCTCTCTGTTCATTATCTATCTATCTATGTCAGTTTTTTCATATCAATCTCTCTGTTCATATCTATCTCTCTCTCTTTCTATCTATCTATCTCAGTTTGGTCATATCAATCTCTCTGTCCATATCTATCTATCTATCTATCTATCTATCTATGGCGCTCTGGGTATGACAAGGCTTCTGATCACGAGGTTTTGAGAAGCGTTGAACCACCTGTTAATTGCTGGTGTTAGCAGATCGATCGCGACCCGGAGTTGTAGCACTTTTTAGGGTTCCAGCACTAGGAAAAATAGTTAACCACCAAACGGGGGTCCAAACCCATGCGAATGTGTAAAAATAGGTTTTATTACCAGAATTGCATTTTTGGAAAAAAATGATTCCCAGCAATAGATTTTTTGAAAGAAAAAATACCTTTGAAAATACCATTAAAAATAATATTAAAAATACCATTAAAAATAATATTAAAAATACCATTAAAAATATTTTTGTAAAAGCAAAATAATATAACCAGCAATAAAAAAAATGTCGGCATCAAATATGGCGTAAAACATACCAAACCAATCTATCTATCTATCTATCTATCTTTCTCTCTATGTATCTATCTATGTCAGTTTGGCCATATCAATCTCTCTGTTCATATCTATCTATCTATCTATCTATCTATCTATCTATCCCATTCTTTCATCCTTTATATTTATTTCTTTCTTTCTTTCTTTCTTTCTTTCTTTCTTTCTATCTGCTGCTCCTCTTTTCCTCTAACTCAATCTATCTATCTATCTATCTATCTATCTATCTATCTATCTATCTATCTCATTCTGTTCATAATCTATCTATCTATCTATCTATCTCATTCTGTTCATATCTATCTATCTATCTATCTATCTATCTATCTATCTATCTATCTTTTAATCTTTCTTTCTTTCTCTCTATGTATCTATCTATGTCAGTTTGGTCATATCAATCTCTCTGTTCATATCTATCTATCTATCTATCTATCTATCTATCTATCTATCTATCCCATTCTTTCTTTCTTTCTTTCTGTTGCCTCTCTTTTTCTCTAACTCAGTCTATCTATCTATCTATCTATCTATCTATCTATCTATCTATCTATCTATCTATCCCATTCTGTTCATATCCATCTATCTATCTATGTCAGTTTGGTCATATCAATCTCTCTGTTCATATCTATCTATCTATCTATCTATCTATCTATCTATCTATCTATCTATCTATCTATCTATCCCATTCTTTCTTTATTTGATTTCTTTCTTTATTTATTTTCTTTTGCCTCTCTCAGTCTGCCTATCTATCTATCTATCTATCTATCTATCTATCTATCTATCTATCTATGTCAGTTTGATCATATCTATCTATCTATCTATCTATCTATCTATCTATCTATCTATCTATCTATCTCATTCTGTTCATATCCATCTATCTATCTATGTCAGTTTGGTCATATCAATCTCTCTGTTCATATCTATCTATCTATCTATCTATCTATCTATCTATCCCATTCTTTCTTTCTTTCTTTCTTTCTTTTTCTTTCTTTCTTTTTTCTTTCTTCTTTTGCCTCTCTAATCTTCTATCTATTATCTATCTATCTATCTATCTATCTATCTATCTATCTATATCAGTTTGATCATATCTATTATCTATCTATCTATCTATCTATCTATCTATCTATCTATCTATCTATCTCATTCTGTTCATATCCATCTATCTATCTATGTCAGTTTGGTCATATCAATCTCTCTGTTCATATCTATCTATCTATCTATCTATCTATCTATCTATCTATCTATCCCATTCTTTCTTTCTTTCTTTCTTTCTTTCTTTCTTTCTTTCTTTCTTTCTTTCTGTTGCCTCTCAGTCTGCCTATCTATCTATCTATCTATCTATCTATCTATCTATCTATCTATCTATGTCAGTTTGATCATATCTATCTATCTATCTATCTATCTATCTATCTATCTATCTATCTCATTCTGTTCATATCCATCTATCTATCTATGTCAGTTTGGTCATATCAATCTCTAAAAAAGATCTATCTATCTATCTATCTATCATAAATCAATTATTATCCCATTCTTTCTTTCTTTCTTTCTTTTTTTCTTTTATTCTTTCTATCTGCTCTCCTCTTTTCCTCTAACTCAATCTATCTATCTATCTATCTATCTATCTATCTATCTATGAAAGAATTTGCGCGATGAAGAATCAATTAGTCGAGAGCGGTCTTTGGAGATACATTTGGCTAATATTCAAGCTTTCGCAGTCAATCGATCCTGAGAATAGCGCGAACCCAAACTCATGTGCCGACTGCTGCATTTCTTAAGCATTTCCCATGCTCGTCATTCATTCATCGACTTTTTTTTTTATGTCAGCCTAAGACGTAAGCTGATCCGCTCTTCGTTAAAAGGCCTGACCAACGTACACGCTTTGGCTTCTAATAGCTTTCTAATTGAATCTGGAAGATAAATTGTCTCCCGCAAGAGGAAACGTAGTTTTGTTTCCAGGATTCCATCCAAGACAGATATGAAAAGTACTGGCTAGAATATTGGAAGGGTAAATTGATACGAGACTTATAAACTCGGACTATTATGCTCATCTTTGTCGTTGTTACCACAACGTTTCGGCCATTGCGCCTACTGGCCTTCATCAGATCTGGTTTACCTACAGGGAATTCTGAAATGAACACTTTATTTAATCTATGGGGTTAGACAGTTCTCGTTGCAGTGCCTATGTTTAGGTTTGGTTTCGTTTGGTTTAATTTGCTTTACGGCATATCAACCACAATGGTATTTTTAATGTCGACAAGAGTTATAGGATAGGTTCGTATGAATAGAATATGTATTCTTTGGTTTAGATTGGTTTGGATTATTTTGTTTTACGGCATATCTACCTCAATAGGTTATTTAATGCCGACAATATTTTTAGGATAGATTCGTATGAATAGAATATGTATTCTTTGGTTTAGATTGGTTTGGATTATTTTGTTTTACGGCATATCAACCTCAATGGGTTATTTAATGCCGACAATATTTTTAGGATAGATTCGTATGAATAGAATATGTATTCTTTGGTTTAGATTGGTTTAGTTTATTTTGTTTTACAGCATATTGTTGTGGATTCCGGGATGAAATCCGGTCTCAAATGAATGACAAACGCAGGAATGAAATATAGCAAATAAATGTATTGACGTAATAATATAATTGGTTATACGGTTAGTAGATCCAGAAATGCGGTTAGTAGCAATAATAATATATATACAGTCTGGGAAATTCAGTATCGAAGTAGGACTTCCTTCTGAGTCTACATGATCACAACTGTGACTCCTACAAGGTGGTTACCTCACTCTCTAACTCTCTCGCTTTCTCACTCCTGGGTATTCACCGGCAGCAGTACAAGTACACACTGGGCGAGTCCACTTGTAGAAAAAGGGGTGGACCCCTTAACCCCCCCCTCCTTAGATCCCTTCTGGGGGGAGTTAGTATTTTTTCTCTTATGGTTCATAATCAGAGGTTCGGTAAATTTTCTCTTCCTGTTTTAAATGATCTCTTGGGTACAACAGGTGTATACTGGTTTTTGTTCTTGTTTGGTAATAATTTGTCAAACACAGACTGTATTTTTACCCTCGTCCTCTACATAAATTCATTCTTTTCCGCTTCTCTTCTTATCTCTCGCAAAGTCACAGGTAGTTCCTTTACTGCCTTGTATATCTCTTTACTGTTTTCATCTATGGTAGCAAATGGCACGTTTCGCTTCTTTTTACGTACTGGTTGGACGTTTTCTTTTAATTCAATTCTGGCCTCAAATTTGTTGCATCGTCCCAACTCGCTCGAAAATACCCCAGGAAATTAGTTATATAATTCTTCCTTTAACTTTATAGCATCTGATGGTTCAACCTCTAACTTTTGCAAAAAGAGCTGATAGGTAGATCCCAAACGTTGAACTTTTGCATCCAGTCGATACCTACTAGATTTTCAGTATCTTTCATGACGTATATCTTAAGTTTTTTTTCTTTCCCCGTGAAATTTAACATTCACGATTATTTCTCCTTCGAATTTTATTCGCTTGCCTGTAACCGACTTGGCAATTTTTTTGTGTATATAACAAGATATGTCTGTTAAGTTTTCTCCATGTCTGTAGGTTGATTATCGTGAGGTCGGAACTCGAAGCCAGTTGCAATTTTATTTTTTTATTTAAAATTTCAAGTTCCACATATTTTCTTTATGTTGGTATTGTCTTCCTTATGAATCCTAGTAGCTCTTATTCTACTAGTATCTTTTCTGTTCCAACACTGGGGTGCCTAGTGGTCCGTTTTGCCACACTCAAGACAGTTTTTATATTTAAAACGGCAATCCTTGTTCCAATGTAGTTCTCCACATCGACAACATGCTGATGTCGGGGCTTATATTTGCTTCGATTTTCGTCATAATTTGCCCTGTATGTTGTACTTTTTCTCTTATTATAGAATTTTTTCTTCTTTCCGGGGAGGGTGAGAATCTTTTTACCTTATTATAGAACTTTTGTTTTCTTTCCGGGTAGGGTGAAAAACGTAGACTTTTGTATATGAGATACAGCTGACTCCTCAATGTCCTTCGAGTCTTTCTTTATACTTAGACATTTCTGGCAATCTTCCGATAATTGTTGTAGCGTTAGTCCAGGTTCATTTTGTAATTTTGAAAGCATTCTTTTGCGCATTTCACTATCTTTTGTTGAAACTAACCCCTGAACAAAGATGAGACACTTGAATTTGTCCGGGGTTAATCCCGCTAATTTGAAGTCGTCGCAATATTTATTTACGATTGCGGCAAACGTGGAATAATCCTCATTATCGCCCTTTACCAGGTTAGGGCATTTCCACCTCTTATGGAAAAAAATGATGTTTTTGGGCTGAAGAGTTCTTTAAGACATATCACTGCTTCCTGAAATGTTAATTCGTTCCTCTTTTTTGGCAAGATATAATCCACCAACTTTGTATATTCTTCAGTTCCTAATTTTCTAAGCAATAGACGTAGCTTTTTCGCTTCTGTCCAATTTTGACAGTCGATGTTAAAGATGTCTTCATGTCTTCTGAAGTAATCTCCAAAATTCTTGTCCTCATCTAGAGAATATTTGAAAATCTCTATCGTATTCCACACTGCGTCTTGCGAAAAAGTTGCCTCTTTTTCAATATTTAATTGCTTGTTACCCGCTACTTTCAATATTAGTTCATGGAGCTCTATTTGTCATTCTTGATTTTCCTTCTGCGTTTGTAGTAATTGCTTTTGCCATTTTTCTTCCATTCTTTCTTGTAGTTGTAATTGTTGATCATTTCGGTATTTTATCAGTTCTACCAAAATATTTTAAAAATCTTCCATGATAACTCAATTTTACGTATTTTTTAATCCTCGTAACTCTTTGTCGTCAATTTGTTATGGACGACGAGGGAAAAATTTTTTTGTTGTTTGTTCTTCCTGTGTGAGTTCATATCGCTCGTCGCCAATTTGTGGACGAGGGGAGGATTTTTCTATTTCTTCTTCTCGTGTGAGTTTGAATCGCTTGTCGCCAATTTGTTGTGGATTCCGGGATGAAATGGTTCAAATTCTGTCTTTCGACCAATAATTAATTAGTAATACTCCTGTGACTAAATGATTTTTATCTAAAATTATTCTTACAATATAAAAATATTTTTTGGCTGTAAAGAGTTGATAAGCAGTAGAAAAGAAATTAATTTAAGAATCAATCATTTATTATTAGACTTCCGTTTCTATCAATATATTCTTCTGGTTCAAATTCTGTCTTCTGACCAATAATTAATTAGACACGTGTGGATAAATGATTATTAGCTTAACAACTTTGTTGAAACTTGAATAAAGCATGGAATAATAATAATACAACACAAAATGTACTTAAACAAAATGTATTGAAACAAGAACGTGTACACAATATTTACAGATAGTGTGGTATATTCTTGGGAAGACCGTTCCTGTAGAATGGGTTGACTTAGTCGCAGTGGGGCAGAGTCTCTGGATTGGATCTCTTCCTCACCCTCGTCTTCCCGGTACCAACCATATTTATATGGTCGGTACTCCACTATGTAAATTAGGTGGATCGTACCACAACAAACTTATTACAATCTAAAAATATTTTTTGGCTTTAAAAAACCTGTATAGGGTTGATAATCAGTAGAAAACTAACAAATCAATTATTTATTGTAAGGCTTCTGTTTGTATCTGTCTATTCTTCTAGTTCAATTCCTGTCATGGGATCAATAATTAATTACTAAGACACGTGTCATTAAATCAATATTATCTAAAAGCTTATTACCATCTGAAAATATTTTTTATCTGTAAATAACCTATAAATGGTTGATAAGCAGTAGAAAAATCAATCATTTATTATTAGGCTTCTGTTTCTAACAATATATTCTTCTGGTTCAAATTCTGTCGTCCGACTAATAATTAATTACTAAGACACATGTCGATAAATCGTTATTAGCTTAACAACTTATTGCAATCTAAATATATTTTTTGGCTTTAAATAACATGTAAAGGGTTGATAAACAGTAGAAAAGTAAATAATTTAACACGCAATCATTTATTATTAGGCTTCTGTTTCTAACAATATATTCTTCTAGTTCAAGTCCTGTTTTCCGACCAATAATTAATTAATACGACACGTGTCATTAAATCATTATTATCTAAAAAAAGTTATTACAATCTGAAAATATTTTGGCTGTAAATAACCTATAAATGGTTGATAAGCAGTAGAAAAGTAATTAATTTAACAATCAATCATTTATTATTAGGCTTGCGTTTCTATCAATATATTCTTCTGGTTCAAATTCTGTCGTCCGACAAATAATTAATTAGTAATAATCTTGTGACTAAATCATTTTTATCTCAAAAATATTCTTACAATCTAAAAATATTTTTTGGCTGTAAAGAGTTCATAAGCAGTAGACAAGTAATATAATTTAACAATCAATCATTTATTATTAGGCTTTCGTTTCTATAATTCTATTGTTCTGGTTCAATTCCTGTCGTCCGAATATCATTTGATTAAAACGTTTTAGTTAAATTCAATATTTTTTACTTCAATCGGTCCCTTCTACATTTAAAAGTCTTCAGAGCCTCATTTTCATCTGACCAACATTTGATGAAAACGTTTTATTTCCATTTACTATTTAGACCCTCATAAAACAAAATCTT